CCTCTAGTGTATCCTTTCTCTGTACCTTAAGAATGAAAGCCTCAAATTGGTCATTTTACTTAGAGCATATGAGTTGGCATTGCCTGGTACTGAACAGGTAAAAGGAAACAAAGTGTAGGAGAGCAGCTAATTATAGTAATTGCAGCTGGTTTCAAAGTACTTCTGACAGTTTGTGCATAATGCTTACTTGAAAGCATCAAATGGGTGCTAGTTGTGAAATAGAACACCTGTTTGTTGTTGAGCCTGTGTTTATGCAGATGATTGTTGTTGTCAAAGCACCTTGATGTAGAGTAGTCCTGTTTACATTTACATTCTCCCCAAAGGATTAACAGTGTTCTCTCAATAAATTTGCAGTCTATTCTCCTCTCAAAGGCTGCTGTTTGGAGGGTGGTGTGAAAGAGGCAACAAGTGCTTGCTAATCACTTGAATATACATAATTAGCTACAGTCTGGTGCACTGGATTCTTTGTAGAACCATAACAATGCTGATAGGAAAAAGCTCATAACAATAGATGTGTTACCACATAGCTTTTGAGGGTACTTGTTTATTCATTGGTATTTAGTTCTTGTTTTTTTTTAGAACTTAAGTTTTATTTAAAAGTATACAGATTCTTGTTCTTTTTAATGAACTAGTGTCAGTTATATAGCAGCTCTTTAAAGTCAACCCTAAATAGCAAATTTCTACTTCTAAAAAGACCAGCGAGAGTATGAGGTTATTATTTAACACATTAGACATACTTAATAATTCCAGAGATTGAGAAACATTTAAGTTTATTGGGCAGCTAAACTCAATCCACAGTGGAGGATTTTTAGAACAATTAAAAAAAGAAAACAAAACAAAGTTTAAGAGGACTAGATCTATATGCAAAGAAACAAAATATATTCTCTTATTTCCTAATGTTCTAGCTTTGTATCATTTTGTTGAATAGCTTTGTTGTGGGAATATTTAGACCTCAAATTTTATATCTTGAAATTCAAAGGGTCATAGGCATTTCAGGTAGCCTTCCATGAAACCTGTAAGTCTGATAACTGTTCCTTTTGCATTCCCTGTTACACTGACATCCATTCAGGCTTCCGTTTCTGATTCCTATGAAGTTGTAGACAGATGGTCACTCACTAACTTAGCATTCTAGAGGTCTAAGTGTAGTTTTCCTTCCTGCATAAAAATTCTAATAGTACCCTCAGACTTCACCAGTTTTGATTTAGAAGTGTTAATAAAGAAAAGTAGCATAGACGAGAAGCTTGTTCATATAGGAGCGCAGAAAAGAAGCTTGTTAACTGTCTTCCTTAGGAGGTTACAGTGTTGGCCTGTTCGGGAGATTCCTCCAGTGTCTCCTGCCCATGACCAAGGTACGGTGCGGCTGTTCAGGTGGTACATGGGGGAGAATTTTACGTTTGGTTAGTGAAGTGTTTATTTTATACATTGAAAACTATGATTAGCTTATCAGCTGTGTAAACTTTTGGTGTGGAAATCAACACAGACTTCTCCTGGAACAGAATGGAAGCTATTTACTCAGAATTTGAGCAGCGAGAGAGTCGGCCACGTTCACTTTGCCTGATATTCCAAGGCAGGCAGGGGAGTGGGAAAGCTTTGTAGTAAAAGCAGGGCTCCAGGGCTGCCCTGATGGGAGATTATTGGCATGGGGAATCTAGAGGAGGGGATCTCACGTGATTGGTTTGGGGAGCATAGTTAGCTTTCTCTGGTTGGTCACAAGTTAGAAGCGGCGCAGAATTAACAGCTGGTCATTGTCCAGGTCTTGACTGTTCCGGGCTGTAGAGCTTGTGGTTTGGCCTTCTGGGCTGGTTGCAGAGGTCAGAGTGCGCTTGGCATATATTGCCTGGCCATTGTCTGTTTTCAGTTCAGCCTCTTGGTAGGTAGTATTGGTGAGACCAAATGTATTAAGGAAAAATATATCCTTGTAATTTTAAGGATGTGTACCTTAAACTCATTAACGTTAGAAAGCTTTAAGATTTTAGCGTTTTGAAGTTTTCTTTCAACTGGTTATCCTCTGACACCTTGAAGAACTGAAAATATGTGCCCAGAAGTTTTTAAGAACGTTGCGATTGCCTATCTAGCTTTGTTTCATAAGGTTTTAGGTAAGGTAAACTTTATAATCAAAATTCACAATTGCTAGTATGATGCCTTAAGAAGCCAAAAGTTCCCAAGAACGCTCTATAAACTTTTCCTGATAATGATTAAAATTTGTGATTGGCATCATGTCAAATGCTTACTTCGCAGATATCTCCCTCCCGAAGTGTTGATAGGAGAGCTAAGTTTATTGCTTGCTGCAGTAAGTGAGAATACCACTTGGTCAGAGCTTTGGCAGTGTCTTAGAGGGGAAAAGGCCAGGTTGTTAGGTATTGAGGACCGAAGTTTGGTTTAAGGTGGGCAAGTATAGGGAGTGTCTGTATGTGTACATGCGCGTGCATGTGGTTTGGTTAGAATTGTATAAGAGCCATGATACAACAATAAGGGATTCAAAGAACCTTAACAAACTCTCTCTTGGTACTTTCCATTGAATAACTTAAATGTCATAAGAACTGCAGCATTGTACTTGAAGCTGTTGAAATGGTAATTTTTCACTTATGTTAAGGAGATGTAGCTGATGTCCTTAGGTTAGATCAGTTCTTACAAAATATCCACCTTCTACTATGGGTAACTATCAAATCAGTATTATAATTCTATTATAAAATTCATATCAGCATCAGATCTATTAAATTTTCCAGGGTTTCTAAAATATTTATGATGCTTCATTTTCTTGGCTTTACTTTTTTTTCTTTACTAGAAATACTTTGAAATATGAGGGTGGAGGTTCCTTTTCTGTAGAGTGAGAGGATGTGAAACTTCATTTCTTGAGTTCTAAATTCCCCTAAAGGCATTGTTTCAAGAATAGGGCTTCAACTTTGCATGTTTCAACCTATAAATTGCAGTTAAGGGCAATCATTATAATAATAAACCTTTGGCATTGTAGGTTGATTTATGAAGACTCACCTTAGAATTAAATGTTGTCTGTTGTCTGCCCTTTATTTTTATTCCCTTAACAAATGTCAGGTTGGCCTGCCTTATCCCAGTTTTGACCAGTAGTGTGTATGTTCAGCCTCAGTGTATATTATCTAGGTTGGACTCCTTTTGAATGTTAATTCATTCACATTAATCAAAAAAGTTTATACTGTGTGAATTGCTCATTTTCTATCATGACCTCGGGGTGTGGAAGTCGTCTGTTGAAGACTGAGTGGGCCCACCACTGGGGGCAGGTTTTACCACAGCATTGACAGTCTCTCCTCAGCTCAGGCAGGAAGCCTTGGTCAGGCCACCTGTGCAATCACCTCAACAGGGTCGGATTGGCAGAACCTTAATCTGCATTGCTTGATTTAATGAGTTGTATTTGTAGAAGGATGCCAGGTGTTTGGGTAAAAGGAATTCCTCTTTGCTCTCTACCCCTGTCATTACCAAATTACCTGCTTTTTCATGAGGATACATTGGCTTTTAAGGGCTATGAGAACCATAAAAGAGGACAAGCTTGATTCTCAGTTTGTGCATTTTGACCCATCTGGAACCTTGTCTTTGGTTCATGTTTTTTCATGTTGTTTTGACAACTCTGTTAGGGCTGTGGGACTTGGAACTTTTCCACAGATAAAGAACTGAGAAAGAGACTATTGGTTGATAAGTTGAGCACATACAAACTTTTCCAGGAAAATTGTTTTCTGGTATTTTGAGAAGTTACTTTTGTAAATTATAGAGACTGTATTTAAGTATTACTAAAAGACCATATTAAACATTTGCTATAGTTTTAGGTCATTATCTGCTTTCGTTGAATTCACTTTATGTGTAAAATATTTTTATATCTAGTTGGTAGGTCACATGATATTAACACAACTGTTTTTGGTATATTAGACAAACTGAACTTTTTTATGCAAGGAATTTTTCCAGATGTTACCACTAGAATTTATTTAAGCATACTCTAACACATATAAAATCTTATTCCTTTTTCATATACTTTCCATGAATATATGAAGGAGCTTTGGCCAACAAGTAGGTTTATCCCCCAGTTTGAACTCCAGATTCAGCAAACTTGAGATCTGTTATAATGCCCAGCAACAGAGTAATCAGAACAGACTGCTGCTGCTGCTGCTGCTGCTAAGTTGCTTCAGTCGTGTCCGACTCTGTGCGACCCCATAGACAGCAGCCCACCAGGCTCCCCCGTCCCTGGGATTCTCCAGGCAAGAACACTGGAGTGGGGTGCCATTTCCTTCTCCAATGCATGAAAGTGAAAAGTGAAAGTGAAGTCGCTCAGTCGTTCCCAACTCTTAGCGACCCCATGGACTGCAGCCTACCAGGCTCCTCCGTCCATGGGATTTTCCAGGCAAGAGGACTGGAGTGGGGTGCCTTTGCTTTCTCTGCAGAACAGACTAGGAAAGGCCAAATAGCTTCTCCCAGTAGAAATTTAGCAGTAAGTTAGTATTCCTTAAAGTATGGATTATAGTCCCTGTATATTCAAATCCCTTGGGACGCTTATTAAAAGTGCAGTTTTCCAGAAACTGTAATTAGAATGGCTAGTTTTGGGATCCTGCCTGATAGGTATATTTATACTAAGTACCCCTGCTAATTCATATTTACACTAAAATTTAGGGTTCTTTGTCTTAAATTATGATGAAAATCAATAAAAATATCTTTCAGATTGGAGAATATTTAATACATAATTTTGTCAAAAATATAACTAACTTTTAAGATACAGTAAGTTTCATAATGTAGAACATTTTTCCACGTTTTTATATTTGAAAAATTGTCTTTGGAAACTAACTTCCTTATTGATTTTCAGTTCTTCATATTGACTACTGATTTGTTCACTTAGTAGTTCTCTAATTAGGCTTAAAAACCTTAAAACTAGATGTATAATCAACCTATTTTGTTGCTATGTAAAGTAGAAAATAGTAGTCTTACCTTTCTCTGAATTCTTGGTGTTTTTTTTCCCTTACATCTTGATTTTTGTCCTTTCTCAGTTCTTTTTCAGATGTTCCCTGGGTATAGACTTTTTCTTTGGAAGACCTCCGGGACAAGGGTACTGTCTTCTCCAGCAGTCTCACACAGCATTTGTACAATGGCACAGAAAAACAGTTTTTAAAAATTGAAGTACAGTTGATTTGCAGTGTTAAACTAGTTTCAGGTATACAGCATAGTGATTTGATATTTTTATAGGTTTCACTCCATTTAAAGTTATTATAAAATATTGACTACATTCCCTGTGTTGTATGTAATCATCCTTGTATCTTATTTATTTTATACCCAGCAGTTTGTACCTCCTCTTCCTCTTCCCCTGTGTTGCCCCTCCCACTGTTCTTCTCCCAACTAGTAGCCACTGGTTTGTCCTCTGTATTTGTGAGTTTGTTTCTGTTATGTTAATCCTTTTGTTTTATTTTTTAGAATTGACACACATAAGTGAAAATGTGTAGTATCTGTCTTTCTCTGTCTGAATTATTTCACTAAGAATAATACTCTCTAGACCCATCTGTGTTATTGCAAATGGCAACATTTCACTCTCACGTATAGCTGAGTGGTATTCCACTGAATGTATAATAACATCACATCTTCTTTATCTATCTGTTGATGGACACTTGGGTTGCTTTTGTATCTTGGCAGCTGTAAGTAATGCTACTGTGAACATTGGGGTACATATATCTTTTTGAATTAGTGTTGTTGTTTTCTTCTAATGAATGCCCAAGAGTGGGGATTTGGGGATCATGTTCTATTTTTAATTTTTTGAGGAACCTCCATACTGTTTTCCATACTGGCTGTACCTGTTTACATTCCCACTAACAGTGTCCTGGGGGTCCACATATTTCACCAGTGCTCATTATTTCTTGTCTTTTTAACTGGTGTGAAGTGTTATCTTATTTTGTTTCGACTTGCATTTTCCTAATGATTAGTGGTGTTGAACATCTTTTCATGTGCCAGTTGGCCATCTGTATGTCTTATTTGGAAAAATATCTATTCCAGTCGTCTGCCCATTTTTTAATTGGATTATTTGATTTTTTATATTGAGTTATATGAGCTATTTATATATTTTAGATATTAACCTTTTATCAAATATACTATTTGCAAATATTTCCTCCCACTTAGCAAGTTGCCTTTTCATTTTTTTTTCAATTTTCATTTTTTTGTCTCTTTTTTTTCCTGTGAAAAAACTTCTAAGTTTCATTATTTCCCATTTTTTTTTCCCTTGCCTAAAGAGACATATTTTTAAAAGTTACCTTTTCATATCTTTGTGTCATCTATAGCTTCCTTCATTGCTGACTTAGTTTTTGGAGTACACAGGTCTTTCACCTCCTTGATTAAGCTTATTCCTAGGTTTTTTATTCTTCTTAATGTGATTGTTACTGGGGTTGCTTTCATGTTTTCTCATTTTGATAGTTTATTATTAGTGTATAGAAAAACAACAGATTTCTGTACATCTTGTATCCTGCAACTTTACTGAATTCATTTGTTAGTTATAATAGTTTTTTGGTGGAGACTTGAGAGTTTTCTATTACAATATCATGTATCCTGCAAGTACTGACAGTTTAATTGTCACATCTGATTTAGATGTCTTTTATTTCTTTTTCTTGTCTTATTTCTGTGGCTAGGACTTCCAATGCAGTGTTAAATAGAAATGGCAAGCGTGGGCATCCTTGTCTTGTTTCTGATTTTGGAGAAAAAGCTTTCATTTTTTTCAGAGTTGAGCATGATGTTAGCTGTGTGTTTGTCACAAATGACTTTTTCTTGTTGAGACATGTTTCCTGTATACCAGTTTTGTTAAATTTTAAATCATGAATGGGTATAAATTTTATCAAATGATTTTCTGCATCTGTTGATCATGTGGGGATTTTGTTTTGTTAATATGTTGTGTTACATTGATTGACTTGTGAATATTTAACCATCCTTGCATCCCTGAAGTAAATCCCACTTGATCATGATATATGATCCTTTCTATATATTGTTGAATTACATTTGCTAATGTTCTGTTGAGGATTTTTGCATCTATATTTTTCAGAGGTAATGACCTATAATTTTCTTTTTTTGTAGGGCACTTACCTGGTTTTGGTGTTAGGATAATGGTGGCCTCATAGAATGAATATGGAAGTATTCCTTCCTCTTCATTCTTTGGAATAGTTTGAGAAGGATAGGTATTAACTTTTTTTATATATTTGTTTGAATTTCCCAGTGAAGCTGACCAGTCACGGACTTTTGTTTGCTGGGAGTTTTTTGATTACTGATTTTTCGGTCTTGGAGGATTGTATGTTTCTAGAAATTTATCCATTTTTCTATTTTGTACAATTCATTGTATATCTTTTTATAGTATCCTTTTATGATTGTTTTTCTGTAATATTGGTTAGAATTTCCCTTATTTTTACTTCTGCTTATTTGGGTCTCTCTTTTTTTCTTAATGAGCCTGGGTAAAGGGTTGGTTGTCAGTTTTGTTTATCTTTACAGAAAAACAGCTTTTTGTTTCATTGATCTTTTCTGTTGTTTTTAGTTTTTGTTTTGTGATGGAATTATGACTGTGTATTATAAATTTAGGTAATTTCTATTTTAGATCTCTTTCTCTAAAGTTTTACATTATAGCATATTTCTCTTTTATGGTAACAAGTTCAAATGTAAGCCTAATAAAACAATAAAAACTTAAGCCAGCAGTTTAGTACTTGCAATATGAATTTAGCAGATGTGTCAAAATGTATGAATTGTTTTTAATGTTAAACATTTTGTTTGTGAGAATAACATAACACCTGCTGTGACCTTTTAAGCTATGTAAATTTTAGTGACTGTAAAATTAGAATGTATTCCTTTCCAAAAGGTGTTAGGAAATTATTTAGAATGTTTTAAGCTTGGCTCTTTTAGAGATTTTATTATGTAATATGAAGACATTCAAATTTGATACAAAAACTGAAACATCATAATTCCTAGTCTTAAAAATCTTTTTTAAAAAGTTATCTGTAGGATAATCTCACCTCTGATGTATGTTATCCAGGAGCAACAGCAAGTGTCATCTAATACTACACTAATAGCTGTTTCCTTTTAGCACTAATAACCATCTTGGAATCTATGGCTATACCTATACCTTATTAAAGTACCAAATAGATAGGCTTATACTGGAATAATAAATTTTCCAGAGTTATTAATTCCCCTTTCTCTCCATGATATAGAAAAGAGTAAGAAAACATAAAAATTGTTAAGAGTACTTGAGATATGGGTTCGATCTCTGGGTTGGGGAGCTCCCCTGGAGAAGGAAATGGCAACCCACTCCAGTATTCTTGCCTGGGAAATCCCATGGACAGAGGAGCCTGGCGGGTTACAGTCTGTGGGGTCACAAGAGAGGCTGATATGACTTAGTGACTAAGCAACAACAACTTACTTTTGTAACTCTGCCAATGGAATGTGTTGCAGCAGCTATTTTAAAAGAATGGTTTACCTAATTTTTTTCTGAGAGATATACTGTGAGCTTGGAAGATGTTTAAAAGAAAATGGTGCTTTACATTTTGATTTGATGCAAATTTCATTAATCCACAATGTTTATTACATTTATAATTTTGAAAGATAATCCTATTTCAGGAGAGTACCTCTCTAACTGGTTAAACTTGTGGATTAAGGCAATATTGTGGTATTACCAAATCTGCTTTTTTCTCCTCAGATCTTTTAGACCAGATGATTAACTAGGGTCAGTCATGTTGAGACCCTATTTGGATAAAAATCATAAAGCTCTATGTAGTATGTGTGGTAAAGCAATTGAAGACTGTATTTGATACTTGCTCATATCTGACTTAATACCTTTTGTATTGAAACATGTTTTTAGCAGTTTCGCGTGTGTGAGTGAACAGAAAAATTTAGGCTCCTTAGTGGCAGAGACTGCTTTCATCCTCCTGTTTCTTTTAATACCACTTTAATCGTTTTTAGTTGTACATTTGCTTCCTTTTTTTATGTATCCCTTGTAATACAAGGTAGTTAAGAATTTATTGAGAATATATACTAGACGTTCAATATAGCAGAGATGGGCTGCTTGTTCACTAAATTCATTTGAATATCCCTCTCACCCCCAACCTACACAGCCAGACTCTCTTTTTCTGGCTGTCTTGATATTAGGTGTGGCCATAGTCTTTAAGTACTGGCTCCTAAAATACAAGCAACCTTAAGTTTTGTGACTTCCAGGCATAGCTTGTAAATGTCACCCCTGTTCAGTCCTCTTCTTGTCTCTTCTATTGGCAATCAAGAAGCCAAGGAGATGGGTGAGACTCTAGAAGGAAAAAGTCTGAATCCTTGAATTACTGCCTGGAGGGAGCCATGCACAGATCAGGAATATTTGTTTGACTTTACATAGCCCCAAATAAAATTCTGGTTGTGTTAAGCCCATAAGATCCCATGGTTTATCTCTGTAAGTAGCTTATTAACACACTTGTTAAAGTGAATAATTTAGTTTACTCAATTTAATTCTCTTTGTTAGGAGTTGGAAGTGGGAGTCAAGAAAATAAAGTGAAACTGTGAGTGAGAAATTGAGTTTGTCTCCAGTTGGAGGAGGAGTCAGTGTGGAACTAACTCAGAGATGAGAGATGCATAAAGGATAGTGAGAAAGATTTAGAATGGTGTGTTAGGGACCTGGTAAAAACAGAGAAAGCAGGAAGTTGTAGTGTAAGCACATTAGGAGAGCAGTCCTGGGAGCTGGAGGAATAGGGGACATTGTGAAATAAGAAAACCAAATCTCAGAGTTGGATAGGATTTTAACTTATTGGTTTTAAAAATGGGAATTTTGTCTCATTCTGTATGCAGTTTACAAATGTGTTTCTTTGCTTATTGCAAGTTTAGTTCATGAATATCTTGACAAAATATGGTATTCACAAAAAAGTGTAATGATTAAATGGAGTGGCAAACCTACATGTGTATGCTGCAGTTTAGATTCATTAGTTAGATTATTTTTAAAATGAGTCATCATGTCTGAAATGAGTCATTCTCTTAGGTACATGAAAAGAAAAGAATTGAATTATGGCTATGTTTTGTGCATATATAAAATACAGTATGTCATATTTATACAATGCCTAAATATAGGTGAAATTTACTCTGTGTTTTAGGCATGTAAGATACTGCACAGAATGTTTAAAAAGTGGAACATTTATCAATTCATTTAACATTTACATTTATTTTTTGTA